AATGAAGAACTTACAAGCAAGCAACTCTAGTTCAAAATCAACTAATGCATGAATGAAAAATTTGAAATCGATATGCATCGCACCAAAACTGTGACAACAAAATTACCTTAATTCTGTATTAAATTTCATCTGAAAATTGCAGTACTTCATAAATTCAAGATGTAAGATAACAATTTGTTTGAATTAAACACTCAGAAAAGCAGCAGACTTTTTTCACACATATTCTACACAAGCTTTTGAATTAAAAAGTAAAGCTTCATAAGCAAGAACAGATACTAAACGTCCTAATACATTCTAAATTGCAGCAATTAAAAAAAAAAAAAAACCATGCTTATTTATTTTCATGTATATATCTGAACTCTCAACAAAAATGTGATGAAACAATCACTCTTTCATTAAGAGTAGGAGGAAGAAAAAGATCAAACCATACAGACAAGCAGCTTTTAACTCCAAAGATAGTTTCTTCAATTCAGTCAAAAATTCTATCATATAGAAACCAACCATTACACCTAATAAAGAGAACAGAAAAACATCAAGCAGGGAAATATTATAACCTTAGAGGAGTGATTGCTCTCCTCACGCAAGATGGAGGATTCAGGAAAAATGGGGAAAAAAGAGAAATAAAATTAAAAAGTAACTCAGTGGAGAATACACCAAAACAAGTATGTTGTTGTGTTTCTCTGGAGCAGAAGAGTTGCCAGAAAAGTCAGAAGATATGCATATTTAAGGAAAAAAAAAATTACCAAGCACAACTAACACACACGTTTTCTCCCCGCCATTGGAAGCAGAATCTATACTTATACAAAAGGCAGAGTGATATCTTTCTTTGCATAACATATATTTTTTTTATCTTAATTGTGCAACGAGAGTTATCCATCTCTCATAACTTATCCTATCCTATCTACATATCATATGACTTAAATCTCTTACTTTTTAATAAAAAAAGATAACCACCCAATTATTTATATAATTGACTCTTTCAAAAACGTTACACCATGAGCAATCCATTCTTGTCATTTTTAACTGTTGCTGCTTACATCATGCAAAAGACAAAGGTAGCACAATAAACGCTGAGGTTATTGTCATTGGAAATTTTGTTCAAAATATTAATTTTATTTGTGATTTTATCTGTTTATAACTTTTTTAATAATTAATTATAATATTTAAAAATATCTATTTATAAATTAATTTTAATTTATTAATAATAATCATTAATTATTTTATTAAATATCATTTATTTTTAATAGTTATTTTTAATAGTTAAGTTAAAATAAAAATTTAACAATTATAATAATTTTAACAAATTTAACAACGATTAACATAAAAAAAAATTTAACAATGATTATATGATAACCCATAATAAACCCAATTCTTAGTTTCCTTATTTACTTTTTTGGGGAATACTTATGACTTATCAATTTGTGTGTTAGGTAAGCTCTTGATTGTTGCTCGATTTTTTACATTTTCTGTACCTCCCCTTTCTAAAGTGTGTTTAGAATTACACTTGAGAGTTTGTTTTATTTTATTTTTTTTAATTGTAAGTATTTATAAATAAATATATATTTGATAAATTTTTTTAGATTATTTTTTCAAAGTTACAAAAATAATAGTAAATATATAACAGTTTTATATATAAAATTAAAAATTTTATTTTAGAACTTTTTGACTATAACTTTTATAAATAATACTTAATAATTAATACAATTATAAAATTATTCATTAAAACCAAATTTTGTTTAATTCAATTACATTATAATTTATAATATTTTATTTAAACTTAATTTCTTATTTATTTAACGATTTTATAAAAAATTAAAAATTCTATTCCTCCTTATAAATTGTTCTTCTACAAAATGTAAAAAGCCTTATCATAAAAACTTAAAATAATATTTTTTAAAAATAAATAACTAAATATTAAAATAACGCTCAAATATAGTTACCGTACAACATAATTCAATACAGTAACAGTGATAGCTATAACCACAACATTTTACACTAATTCCAAATGCACCCTTAATCACCAAATTTGGTTTGACTAAATGAGGTCTAAAGACACACCAATTAATGCGATAATGTTTAATGGGCAATAATTTTATGACGAAAATTTAGTATTAGTAACATATACATAAATTATATCATTTACAATATTAAAAAATAAATTTTATATTATTTAATAATAAATTATTTTTGATAATTTATAAAATAATATAATTTATCTCGCATCTGTACTCAAAATTTGGTAAATATATAAAATATATTTTATATATTTAATATTTATTTTAATTAATATTTCATATATTTTTAAAATAATAAAAAAATCTAAAAATCTAAAAATAAAATATTGAAAAATGTTGTCAATCTAAATCTAAAAATGTCTCCTAGATCAATGTACTAAGCAACAACCAAAAATAAAAATAAATTATTAAAAGAAAATAATTGGGAGGTAATTTTTTATACAATTTTTTTAATTACTTTATGTATTATTAATAATTAATTCTTTTCACTTTACTGAAACTTATAATATTATATATTTTTACTTATTTAATGAAATATAAAAATTATACAAAAATTTATCCCCATATCATTATTACCTATTATTAAAAGAAAAAATTGTTTATTAATCAAATGTCTAAAAATTAAAAGAAAAAATGCTCCAAAATCATGTTATTTCAATATTTTTATTAAAAAGAACTAAAATAATTTATTTTTAAAGTATGAAGGAGATTTTTTTCTTAATTTTGTAAAGATCCTACTTATAAATATTAATTTCTCATTAAAATATTAGAATTAAAATTAAAAAATTTTATAAATTAATTATAGGAAAGTATTTTTTAAATTGATTTGCATAAAAAAATTATATAAATACTTATAAAATTATTTAAATGCCTTTAATAAGACACTCATATATGTTAATTCGTTAATAATATTTAAGTTTTTTCATAATTAATGCTACATTCTTTTCCTGTAGATTTACAATGAAAATCCTCATTTATAATTAATCAATTTTTCACTTTTGGACATTAATTCTAAAAACTTACACTCAATAAGTTAGCAACTTTAATTTTCAATTTAATTTTTAATTAATTGCTAACTTTAAGCATTTAAATTTTAACAACTAAAATTAAAAGTTAAAACACTAATCATACTAATGGAGCCTTAAATATTTAAATTAAGTATAATTTTTAATTGATTAATTTATAAATTAATGAAGGTTCTTCTAATTTATACTTTAAGGATATGGTTAATTGTATATTAATTATATTTATTATTATTAATATATATATATTTTTTGGTTTTCGCTTGGTATCCGAGGTTTCGCCCTGATTAATTCGGACCGACCCGCATTGTGCACTTAGAAATGGTGGGTGAGTGTCTCAACGAAGGCTGTTACATACATAAGGTCTCGAACTCAAGACCTAACTTAGGGCCTGTTTGGTGTGGATTGTGGGAAGAGCTTTTTGGCTCTAAAAGCACAAGCCACACCAAACGGGGTAGCTTCCTAAAGTTGCTCCAGCTTTTGAGAAGCTGAGCTTCTCACTTTTCCTTTGCAAAGCCG